ACAACAGCTCTGACCTCACAACAGCTCTGACCTCACACCAGCTCGTACCTCACCACAGCTCTTACCCTGTCTCTTATACACATCTAGATGTGTATAAGAGACAGGTGAAGTGTTTTGAGAGTCATGTGAAGGCAACAGAACTTACGTAACGCATACGTTTTTTTTTATAGTTTTTCATTTCTCGATGCGTCCTTAATGTGTCGGAATATACCACGTTTACCCTACCCTACATAAAAGATAGTAAAAATATTTAAGTTTATGCCACTATTTTTAGTTTTGTAATTTTCCTGCACTATTTTTAGTTTTGCAATTTTTTCATTAGTTTAGCTGCTACAACATTTCTACGAAATGTGGGACACGCGTCCCGATATACCCCCCCTGTCCCTTTATACCCCGTTTGACGGCATAGTGACAAAGCAGAGAGTTTTTTTTAGAATTTAGACTCTCCCTCAAGTTCACTTTTAAGTCTTATAAGTAGACCAGTAAAGTATCATGGATAGGCTACCAGCATTATCATACATAAGAAATTGCTTTAAATCTTGAGTAAATGAGGAAATTAAAAATGAACTGATTCTAAAAAAGCTCTGGTTTGCCACTATGTTTGATGGTACCAGGATTTTCTAGTCCCAATTATGTAATTTTCACCATTAACATATATTTAATTGTTTTTTACAAAGATGCAATATTTGGTCTAAGTTCATGATGATTCTGTAGAAAAATATGAATAAAAAGTTGTAGAACACATTGCCGTTACAAAAGAGTTAGGCCTTAAGCCAAGGTGCTTCAAAATTTGAGCATGATGTAGCTTAGCCTCATCATGTACCATAGTCCATAGGCATAGGTAGGTAGCCGGTAGGTAGTAGAGATTTTAGAAATAATTAGTGTTCAATCATTTTTGGAATCCTTGACGAATGACTAATTACTATATCAATTATCTTTGAAAGTCAGATCACACAGAAAGCAGATTTTGTTGCAAGCGCCAGGATTGCAAACTGAGGTGAGGCCTACCTAGCCCAGCAGGTACCTAGATCCTGCAGTCTTTACTGCAGATTAATTCAATATTTAAATTAACACAGCTACCTACTAAGCTGCATAGCCTAGCTGCTAGACACACTTTGTACAAAAATCTACAAAATAGGTAATTGAATACATGCTAAATTCACACTTGACACTTTACCGAACAGATTCACACTTCACACAAATTATCGTAACAGTGACAATATGGATGAACGACGTGAGTTTGTCATATTTCATATCATAAAGTTCAAGTATCATTTATATGCTTGTACATACCTCAATATAATGAAATACATCTTTGAATATCTGTTCCTCAGTGATCCTGAAGTGAGGATCTGCATCATTTGGATGGGAGCATGTGTGGATGATGCCATTCATATCCAAGTAAAGGTTGTCAAAATCAGGAATCTGTAAGTAGATAATCCATTTCATAAATAATTCAGTGGAAAATATTTGCAGCTCAGGTTATACTAAAAACTTTACTGGTATTGTAAAAAGAAAAATGCAATTAACTTATCACATATTAACTGTGAAAAGTGGCAGATATATATTCATATTTTGATGATAGACAAGTACAAAATAAATCACTGAATGTGAATAGAGGATTAAACAATTTTTAAATTATAATCTCTATTATATATTGCAAATACTATTCATTTCAGCTGAAAGTTAACCAACCTGATGGTCTCTGACAACCTCACTAAGGGTTGGATATCTCTCACTGATCCATCTGTAAAACTTTGGAACACCCATTTTATCCAAATTATCAAAAACCTGAAATGGAATAAATATTTTAAAATAATCATCTATCGATAAATGTATATATTTCAACAGTGGACATTCCATGAACAATAAAGTTAAGGATCGGAAATGTATTTTAACCATACATGGTTAAAGTCATCAAAGAGCCTGATAACAAGCAAGTTTTGGTAGACTGAGTGTTAAAGAAAAACAATGATTGAAGTTTGGTCTGTTAGCAGGACATATTACCCTATATAATTACCTACTGTCTGCAAAACCAGAATAATATCAGTAGCTAATCCTGCCCAAATAAAGACAAAGCTTCTTTTGAGAAGTAAATTCCTGTGTTGAGTAACAAATTTAGAACTAAGTATCTAATGAAAAATGCCCAAAAGATGATAGCACACCTGTGTTGTACCACATACTAGTTTGATAAATTTGTTGACTAAATCAATGGTATGACCCTGATTCGTAGAATTGCTTGTCTTTGGAGATTTGCTTGTCTTTTGTTCAAAAAGAAAGCAAGCTAGTATCATCAGGATGGGATGGAAACAAGGTGGTGGTAGGATTGGAATTGTCCTACTTGTTTATGAAATCTCGCAGGTCCAACATAACAAATTTTTAATACATTTGGAATCTTGCGGCCCAATTATGCACTTTTGTTAACAATTAGATAATAGTTAATTCATCTGGCGGAAATCTTGCTGTTCCGGAAATGGCGAGAAAGCTCTAGTTGCGGCCCAAAGGGTAGATATTCTCCATGCTTGGGTGGTGGACTGGTGGTGACTGGTGGGCTGCCTGAAATGGTTATCTGGTGGCCCACTCTCATCAATTTCAATTGAAAATGAAAATTCTTGTGATTTTTTGTTCAGATTTTACTAATACTTTTAGAAATTTTTTTATTTTTAGCCCTTGAAGTGGTGTAGTGACTGTAGTCAGACTGTCAGAGTACAAAGTAGATTTATTGTTAATTTTGATTTTTGAAAAGGAATTTTTTGAAAATACCTAACCAAGCCAATCTGAAATAGGTATTGATTAAAATTATACAATTATCCAAACATTAGGAGTGAACACTCATTTTACTGGAATTTTTCTCACTATCACTTTCTAAGAAAAAATTATAACTGCACATGAAAACCAGTGAAATTATGGACCAAAGTCCGGGGCAAGTCCCAAGCATCTAGCAAGCAACTGTAGCATTTATGAGCAACAGCAAGTCACTCAGCTTGAATAATTTTATATAGATGATAAGTTGAATCATAGTGGCAATTAAAAAACAAGAAACAGTTCCTACCTAGTTGTTACTAACTTATTCTATTTCCCTACACAAAAATTACATTCAACTGCGTATGTATAGCCTAAATTGTAGTGACAAACCACAGATTTTCAGGAATCAGTTCATTTTTAATTTCCTTATTTACCCACCCGGGTTCTAAAATCTAAACTAATTTCTTGTGTATGAAAATGCTTGTATCAATTTTCATTGCACTTTACTGGTCTACTGTCTGTAGCCTACTTATGTCTTATAACTTTTGGCACTCAAAAGTCAAAATTGAACTTGCAGAAGATATGAACTTCTATTTTATCTTGCATAACTTAGGATAACTACCTATATTGGTTCTTACTACTTGGTACTTAATAGGTAGTCTTACTAGGTAGTCTAATAATTTATTTAGTGAGCTGACTGAGCTCTAAATTTTTTGAGTGTATTGTTTTTTTTTTACCTAGTTTACCAAATTACTGCCAGTATAGTATAGCTCTTCTTGCATTTCAAAATAGATTTTCAAATTGGCAAATTTTGTGAAACTGATTAGGCTAGGTACAATGATTAAGTTTGAACTTTGAAAGTCAACTTTTAAGGTGCTTGAAAATTTGAGCATGATGTACCTACCACCTAGTAGGTACTAGTAGAAATTTTGGAAATACCTAATTATTAGTGTTCAATCATTAAATCATTTTTGAATCCTTGACGACTGGCTAATTACTATAGGCTATCAAGTATCTTTAAAAGTCAGATCACACAGAAAGTAGATTTTGTTGCAAGCATCAGGATTGCAAACTGAGGTGGCTCAGGTGGCGGTGGGGTAGCAGTAGCCCGGTAGATCCTGCAGATTAATTCAAGATTTAACACAGCAACTAGCCTAAGCTGCTACACACTTTGAACAAAAATCTACTAAAATAACTGAATACATGCTAAATCCAAACTTTACTGAACAGATTCACACTTCACACAAATTATCGTAGGTAACAGTGAGAATATGGATGAACGACGTGAGTTTGTCATATTTCATATCATAAAGTTCAAGTTGAGAACTTGAGACTGAGGCTGCGAGTCATATATTGACAATGACACAACAAACGCAATAATGGGAACATAATATAAGTCATAATGAGATTTTCAATTACCAATACCTATGATCCTATCTCACCTAAACCGATGCACGTAAGTTTTGTGGTAACGTGTAATAATCTTGTACACTGAAGCTGACTAAGCAAACAAAATAAAATCTTACATCTACGCCATACTTTGCAATTCTCACACCACACGAAGAAAAAGAATTGGAATGATTGGTTTACTAAAGAATTTCTCGTTTCGGCACTTTCAAAATCCAACGCTAATTATCAATGTAAATGAAAGTTTTCCCAGTAAGTACTTAAATTAAAAGTACTACACAACCAATAAAACTCATACGTACGACTTCCATCAAATTTAAAAACATGAAAATTAATAGTACTTATTGCGTTTTCTTTAGAAAATGTCTGCTACAGTGCTACTTGTACCGAGTGTGTTCAAGTTTCGTGCAACACACGTTTTTTTTTCCTTGAACTGAAGTTAGTGACCAACTATAAATAAATATTTATAATTAAATAAAATCTAAATGGATTTTTTTTGTATTTTGATGTATATCAAATTCATACTAATGTTTTTAAATGATTGTTTTTCCTGTCAACGAGTGTAGCCTATGAGGTGCGAGTTATGTAACTGGGACCAGGCTATATATATCTCAACGGAAGAATCCAGGAGAGATATCAGGCACTTGAGCAGAGATATCAATTTGAGGAAATGCCTACGTAGCTACCCTCATTCCTCAAATCAACCAATACCAAATTGCATGCAATAAACTTCAAAAATACCACAAACGCAAAAAGTGAAAATTATTATGCCTACTTTACGCACGGAGCTTCAAGAATAATTAATTTATATTAATTTATTCCTACGTATTTTGCTGTTGTCAGGTGCAGTGGCACACTTCTAATACTACAGTACAGGAATTCAATACCAATAATTTTCTACAGCATTGTAGTTTACTAAAAACATAGTCATCTGATACACAGCGCGAATATTTGCATGTTAAAAACTATAAAAAGTACAATATGTAGCACAACAGCTCTCAAGCGCATTCTTCAACAGAATAAATGCATTAGGCCTGTCTAATTTACACGGCATAGTGGAGTTTTTAAGTGCATAACACTGATTGAATTTCGTTACTGCAGCGAGTTTCAAATTATTGTTCGAACCAAACAATGCGGCAACTCGGGGTGAATGAAACATGGAGTTACTTTTCAATGATCGCAATCAATTTACACGAGGGACGATTGCACGATATTTTACATGAGGGACAAGAAGTATCACTGAAGCAACAGATCTATTCCAGCTTCTTAAGATCGATAATTTTTTATTGGGTCATCTACAAAATATCTCGGTAAACTGAGTCCTCAGCAGCCCACAAGTGTCTTGCGTCCTGCAGAGCGTTCGTGCTCGAGCCTGTTAAGCTTCTGACAGTAACGCAGGAGCTGCATTACAGCGCTCGGAGTCACGCCTGGGATTTGGCTAGCTGCCCCAAGCTGCAAAATCAAATACATAATGATTTTATTTTTAACGATAATCATGATCAAAACTTGCTTTCGACAAATAATTGATGCTGACAGCAACGTCACAATAAGTGCTTGTATTTAAAAAATGTCAAACATAATATTCATGACAATTAGTTAAGGGACGATACTTACGGTTGCGGGTTGAGCAGCGTGCAGTCTTTCTCTGACTTCTCGAGATAAACTCACGTCAGGGCTGCAGACAAAAAATATATTCACAGTCACACACGAACTGACAATTCGCCATAAATCTAGGATTCTTGTACGGCAAACAATACTAAGAATATTCAACGAAGTTCAAGCCAGTGAAGCTAAACATGGTTAAAATAAGCATGTTTCAAAAACGACTAAACTGTTCCTCACTTTTTATAACAAAAAATCTAAAAAATACTTGTTATTAAATACAAGTGAAATGTTCTTCCACTCTTCATCTGATGACTTGTGTAGCAGCTTAACTGATAATGCAAAGGGACCCGACTTATGATCAAGTCAGGTGAGAATTCGTCAGTGCAAGTGCTTTGCCTCGCAGGATATAAATTGGCAAGAAGTTTAAGTTCATGATCAAGAGGAAACTTGAGCATTACCACTTTCGTTTCAGATAGGTTATCAGTGAAAATTAATGCGCTAGGCATCAGGGACAGTAGTTAACTGTCGTTATAACTAGCCTTCATAACTTATTTTGTGTCACGTTGAGTAATTTTAATCTTCGAGCGTATAATGTCTGTGTTCCTATAGATAATTAACTCAAGTAACACTGAAAGCCTATCTATCACTTTCATATGTTATTAATGTAATAGGCTCTATAGCTTCTATTCTACAAGTAATTCCAACATATCCAAAATGCATACGTATTTTATTTCTTCACCTAAAATAATCTAGCCGAGCAGGTAGATTAAGCTCGTGCTCGACAAGCAGCTCGGAGACGTCATTCTGCTCCCCGCGGTGTAGGTCGTCGTACATCGCCGTGACCTGCAGACGGCGGCACAGTTCAGGCTCCTGTAGCAGCGCTGCGTACCGCGCATCCTTCGCTGCTATGGCTGTAATGTCGATGTTCCAGTTCGTGATGCCAAGAACTGAAAACGCACTGCAGAGAGAGATATTCAAGTTGAGAAGCATTTCTAGTAACCTTAAAAAAGAAATTCCTTGTTAAAATAAATGTGTGAGAAGACTATGGATATTTCAGAAATTAAATGCAAAATTATTCGTCATCACAAAGCGTTTGGCTTAAAGGATCTAAAAAATAAGCTCAATTTAGTAAACGTAATAAGATTCGTCGAAACTTCATGAAAGCTCAAATACTAATATTTGCTATCAAATAATAAGCACAATTTAACCATTTTTTCAAACTTCAAACATATAGTGAGATCTGTAGTTTATTTTATTCAATCGATTTGAAATTTCGCACACTTGCGTAAAGTTGGAGACAATGCATGAATCAATTGACAGAATAAATAATTTTATAAATAAAAAAAAAAATTCAATATTAAAAAAAAATAAAAAAAATAATTTCGTCTCATACAAATCTTATAATCCATATATGACACAATTTGACCTGTCCAATTGATCTGAAATATTGCACAATTGCATAAAGTCAGAGACAATGCATAAATCAATTGACAGAATAAATAATTTTTAAAATTTTAAAAATTTTGATATCATAAAAAATTTGAAGAATAATTTTTTTCCAATATTTGAAAATGAAATTAGAAATTCATTGTACATGTGTAACATCCAAGATACTGGATTGTTCAGAAGTGTTGTCTTTAAAAAGCAATTTTTAAACGTATATTATTTCAAACTTCAAACATATAGTGAGATCTGTAGTTTATTTTATTCTAATCTACGTGTTTGATTTTCTCCTTTCAGATATTATTGTTTCATTTATAAAATAGAATAGAAGTAACGGCACTGAAGAAATAGGCCCATGGCCTGTTGCCGATTCTTGAACTTTTCGTGACTTGATTCACAAGGGATCCGGCCTTTTGAACCCGATCTTTCCATAACTGACGATTGATTGAGATAGCTGCTGGACTTAGTAATTATCGACATAACGGTTCAAATATTCACAAAATTGTTCGCAAATTTGCACGTTATAATCACCAAAATATATGATAGCTGACAGCTGACCTGCGCACGGCCGTATCTGGGGAGATGGCGCCCCCCAAGAGCTTGCGCCAGGCATGCGAGGAGCGCATGTCAGCACGCAGCTGCTGCTCTACTTCAAACAGTCGCTGCTGCACGGCAACCGTTTGTTCGTATCGCTCCCGGGACACGCAACCTGCGGCGTAACCTGCAAATATGTACACTGTATTGGAGCCTCCGTTATTGCTTTGGCACAAGTTCATAACGTAACCTGCTAACATACTGTACTTTATACTCCTTTATAGCAAGGGCACTATTCATGGCGTAGCTCACAATACATACACATCGTAAAGCGTTATTGCTTAACGATTCGTTACATCAAGCGTTATTACTTGAGCTTGAGATTACTTGGTCATAGTGTAACCTGCAAACATACTGTACTGTAGCCTGCGTAATTGCTTGGGCCCATATTGTTAGAATTATTATTATACTTTATGGCTGTGTTCTCCTGCTCAGTCACGAATATTCTACCTCCTGATTACAGTTACCGCATCACCTGAACACTAAATACGCAAAATGATTCTCTAATTGGTGCTTTACTTGGCTAATACTTCATCTGGGAGATTTGGATAACGAATCATTGAAGATTTTAAAGAAATTTCCCTGCGTTATAATAGTTGGAACATTACACGAAACTGAAGCACCACCATTAGCACTGGCCTCTGTTTTGCACAGCACAACAGTTTTTGGTACAGAACTTTACGATTATATTAAGCAATGCTAATACTACAATTTAGGTAAAATTAGGTAGGTACTAATATTTGACATTTAATCTCTACGCTATTATTTATAGCGTTCACCATCACTTCATCTCACGCAGTTTGGTTGCTATTGACTTCCCATATTAGTGGCCCACCAGTGCGGCATATGCATGCAGGCATAGCTTCTGCTCACTTAAAACTACTTTTTCATTTCGTTTAAAATAAAATCACAAACGCAGCTCCAATGTAAATAATTATTTTGGGAGAGGATCTCATTTGATTTAGCATAAAATCAGAAGCGTAGATGATTATTTTGGGAGAGGATAAGGTTTCGTAATTTGCTGACCTTTGGCAGTGAGCCTGAGATCAGCGTTGTCAGGTCGCAAGGCAAGTCTGTACTCGGCGCGTGACGTGAACATCCTGTAGGGTTCAGTGACTCCCTCGCGCGTCAGGTCGTCCACGAGAACCCCCATGTAGCCCTCCGTACGGTTCAGGACGAGGGCTCCTGGGTTCTGTGAGTAGAGAACAGTGTTAAGTTACCTCAGCCTCTACCACAGAATTTAGGATTAAGTCTAAATATCAATTGGATGTGGTCTATGAGCCGGAGAAGGATGAGGAGTGAATAGAATTGAGCTTCAATTTCACAATAGATCGCACCGTATATTTTTTGAATGGTACGAAGAAAACTTTTTAAGTATAATAATAAGGCATGGTACATGAGATCTAAAGAAAATGTGAACATATAAATGTTAATAGATGAAAAAAATAAAATGGAAGTGCGTGGAATGAATTATCCAGAAATGATTAGACGAAATATGTCATTCGAGGCAAGCCCACTGTATGGGACGCAGTGCAATGCATTGGGTCACTGCACACTAGATTATTTATTTTTGTTCTTTCAGGTTTTATGTCATCTTACGCGTGCTTTTTTTTAGGTCACGCGTGCTTTGTATGTTTTTTCGTGAATCAATCGCAGAGAAAGGTTCAAAGGAACTAAATTCTTTACTCAGAATTTTGCGGGGAAGTTGATGAAAAGGACCTGAGAGAATACAAGTTTAATTGTTGTAATTGAAGTTTGATTTTAACTTTTACTGCGTTCATTTAACACTTTTATTCATTTTTTCAAAATTTAATGGATTTACCGAATGACCTTAGTCCAAATGTCTGAGATAATTCACTGCTTTTGCAGGATTTATTCATTGAATGGCCACGGCGGTGGTTGCAGCATCAAGAAATTTCAGAACAACAGTCTCTTTGGGTGTCCTGGTTACCTGCTCCACCTAGACATCGCGGAACCGAAAGAAAAGTAGCAGGAATAAGTCCGTAAATTATAACTGACAGCAGCGTAGACCCCCGTCACTCCCCTGAGCAACAGCCTTCTTATCCTGGTAGCTGGCTCCTGAGATAACGCTCCAGAGTGGCCTGGGACTGCAACGTCCGAAACACATACCAAGGATAGCAAAAGACGAAAAATTCGAGAGAAAAGCAACAGTATATTAGTCCTAAATTACAACTTACAGCAGCGTTGACCCCAGCAAGAAGACCCTGAGCAGCGGCCTTCTTGTCCTGGTAGCTAGGTTCTGAGTTTACGCTCCAGCATGGTCTGAGATTGCTACGTCCAAAACACATACCAAGGATACCGAAAGACGGCAAAACAGTGAGAAAAGCAAGAGATATTCATCCTAAATTACAACTTACAGCAGCGTTGACCCCAGCAAGGAGCCCTTGAGCAGCGGCCTCCTCATAGCCCGTGGTGCCGTTGACCTGACCAGCCAAGTAGAGGCCCCGCACCAGACGAGACTCCAAGGTGCGGTGCAGGTCTCGGGGGTCCAGGTAGTCGTATTCCACGCCGTACCCTGCCCGAGCACGAAAAGTAACACTCGTAACTTAATTTAATTTTAAATGTTTATAATTGCAATAAAGTAGTCATAATAAACGCCTTAACCTGTGCATTTCTCAACCATTAAACACTAGTTAATAAACACTAGTAGCCTACTTGCATAAAATTATTGAGACTATTTACTATTAAAAAACCTACAACAAAGTATACGTAATGTCCATGCATAACAGTACCGCAACATCCTTTAATAACCATAACTCAATATTACCGGAATCTACTCGCAATGTCTTTTCAATAACATCACATCGAAATCAGTTTTAAAACCCGATATCAACATGAACAGTATATTCTAACATGAATGATTAAAAAGTAAACAAGAAAGATCTAAAGGCAATAAACTGTTATCCCACATAGCAATGTTGCCATCCAAATCTGAAAACGATTTTTTATAACAAAAAATGAATGGATAGTAAATAATATGAGTTTAAAAATTACTTTACAAAGACAACACTTCTAAAGAGGCCAGTGTCTTTGATGTTACACAAGTACACTGAATTTCTTACTTTATATGAGATCACTTGACAGCCCCTCAGGCTCCAGCCACACCTGGTGCTCGCGTCCTGGGAACCTGCCACAACACAGTAGTAGTAATGGTGGTAGTAGTAGTAGTAGTATTAGTAGTGGTAGTAGTAGTAGAAGGTTAACTAACGCTTCAGATAAATACCTAAACTAACAGCATCACAAGTTGGTACCTCGGACTGGTGGACATGCAGGGTGGAAGGGCCGCAATTTTTGTTAGATGTTGGCGCTCGCACGAACATTATTTGTCAATGAGTTTCCGAAATGGAGAATGGGGTTTTCAGCTTCCAATTCATATAAACATTTTAATTTTTTGCATATGATAAACGTGTCATAAAATCATTATGACAGCAGAAAAAGTTCATTATTATGGAGTCTGAAAATACTTTTTTGATCAAACACCTTTAAATTACACGGCAATTAATGCTCACATAGCAAGCGTGTTTGCAATCCATAGCAATCAAAAAATTTCAAAGTATCGATTCGATCAATAACATATAAGATTTTTTCTACTATCCTTCACTGGGGCAAATTTTACTTGGCTTCATGCATTAAATAAGAGAGCACGAAACCTCGCACTTCAGGCACGAAGACCCTCCTAAAAACTATGGAGGGGCAGTAGCGCGGGCCGGAGACCTCCTCCTTGAGGTGGCGGTTCAGGTGCTTGGTCGCGTGGATGACTTCCTCGATGGCTAGGGGAGTGCGTGTGATGTAGCACTTCAGCTGCTCGGCTGGCTGCACGTAACTTACTCATATCGGTATTCATGTATTGAATAACTTAACAAGTGTGTGATTCATATCACAAATAATTAAACAACTATGTTATTCATATCATGAATAGTAACTTAACAACTACATTATTCATATCATACATTATTTATTCAAATGCGTTTTCATATCATGAATAACCTATTCAACTTGCCTTTCTCACATTATTATCACTGATACAGTATGGCATTGATGAAAACGTATTAATGGGTGCAGCGAACCACTGCTGGTATGCTAATTCCTGAAGTTTCCCATTGAAAACCCGATTTTAGTTGCAACCTCATCTATGAGCGCAGAACAGCAGAAATGTTCTCATTTTCAACGGAGAGCCCCAAAACGATACTGCACGAACGTCATGATATGCTGCATGAACATATGCACGTCATATGTTCATGCTGCACATCAATACAACACGTTATGAAGGCACATGTCATTAAGCCTTCAGTTGTCGTGTGCAACAACTGATAAGATTATCGCCCTTTTGGTCAGTGTTGTTACGGTCGAATTTCGTAGGCGTGGATTACATATATCATCCACGTGACCACTGTAGAGTTAAGTTTTCATAATGAACAAAAGATTTAATTCTACGGTTACCCATTAGCAAACTTACGTCAATGGCGACCTTGGAGTGGAGGAAAGAGAACGGTGTAGGGGGGTCGTCAGGCTGAACCTCTTCACAAGCACCGAAGTTTATTGAACTCTTCAGAAGGCGAGGAGGGGTACCTGTGGTAAACATGTTCCAGCCGTTGCATGTTACTAAGGATAACTTGAGTCAATATAAACGCCTAGGTGGCAGAGCTGGAACAAATGTATTCAAGAAGATACTTACTATCAATAGATTTACTAGTTTTAAGCATATCGTTCCGAAACACGATCTGTTTCTAATAAATATGAATTGAATGAAATGAAAATCATTAGACCGGCAACGTAGACTTGAAAGAGTGAATTTATGTAAGTTATCAGAACTTGAGCTTGTANAGGGGTACCTGGGGTAAACATGTTCCAGCCGTTGCATGTTACTAAGGATAACTTGAGTCAATAGAAACGCCTAGGTGACTAATCTAGAACAAATTTATTCAATAAGATCCAATCAACAGATTTAGTAGTTTTAAGCAGATCGTTCAGAAACACGATCTGTTTCTCATAAATACGAATTGAATGAAATGAAAATCATTAGACCGGCAATGTAGACTTGCAGGAGTAAATTTATGTTAGTTATCAGAACTTGAGCTTGTATGGAGCAACTTAACTTATTGGATCTTGAGTTTGTATTTCGCAACTTTACTTATCGGAACTTGAGCTTGTATTTAGCAACTTCAATCGCGAAAGGCAGCAAAACTGGGGTGCTTTTTTTTTCAATACACAAAAACGTCACATTGAACAAAAAATAATATGGATGATTCGTTAAAAGGTAGCAAAATTGTAGTTATTATGAAAAAACTACGAAAATAATATTGAAAATGGATACAACATGTGAATTAGTGATGATCCATATGTTCACTAATTAGGTACTAAATTCTGACGGTAAACTATTTTATAATTATAGAAGCTCAAATAGTTCAAATATAGTTACATAACTATATATATTATCTTACACACTGCAAACCATTCTACGGTGATACAAGCTTATACATACAGTTTATATGTAGTTATACAAAATATATAAGTTCACAGACCAGTCTTCAAGCGGGCGACTCTGAAGCCGAGTTTGAAGAGCGTGTCGGCGAGCGCCACTGCGGGCTGGTCGCCCACCCGTCCCGCTGGCCGTACCTCCAGCCCCACGTGCAGCTCCCCCCTCAGGAATGTGCCCGCTGCACACACAGCAGGGGCTTAAAGGCTCACACAACAGAGATTTAGAGGTCCACACATCAGAGGTTTAAGGGCTCACTCTTTCTATACTAGGGTCTATATACCCACGTAGGGTCTATATACCCACGTAGAGGGTGTTTAAACTGACGTGGCATTTACAATCAATGGTGTTTTGCTTGTTTAAACTGACGCGACATTTACAATCAATGGTGTTTTGCTTGTTTAAACTGACGCGACATTTACAATCACTGGTGTTTTGCTAAAATTCCTGAGTGTGAGAAAAAAATAAATACAAAATTATTTATCATTTTTTAAAGTAATAAATAATTTTAATATCGGCAAAAATAGTCACTGCGGTCCTGATCATCGTCGCAGCAAATTTTTTAAGCAATTTGGTAAATTAGGCACCAACGAAAGCTCATATTTAGTACTGGTGACGAAAGTGGACACAATTTATATAATATATAAATTTATATATATATTAACGTGTTACCCGTGATGACGACGCGATCGGCGAGGACGCGCCGCCCGTCGGCCAGTACCACGCCCCTCACACTCCGCTCTGAAGAACACGGCACACGACAAGTCTTACTAATGGTTACACTTTTATTAAGTGCTTCAACAAAGCTCACTGTACTATGAACCATATGAGTGGCGACTTGACAAATAGTGATTTATTATGCGAATGTTCACATTGATTATATATAAATATATTATTAGGTACATTATATTATCTTCGCGTGTCTCACGCAAAC